GGGGTCCAGAGCAGGGTATCCTCTTGCCTGGGTCTAAGGACAATATTTCCTGGGCCTTCAATTTCAAGGATTTCTTCATTGGTATGGGGAAAAGAGTTTGGATTGATGTGCTACGGTGTGGCAGACAACTCAGGTTGTTGGTATTAGTGGATAAAAATATGGAATTTGGCATTGATGGTTCTTGGCTGGATAAGAAAGAGGCCTGTGTGTGAGTTTTAAGGCATAGATGACAAGATATTGGGATAGTAGTGAGGTTTACAGGATATGCCTTCATCACCCACCACTGTTGATTGGACTTTGCTGGATTCCTGGTGACAGCTGGAGCACAATTCAGACTATAGAACAAATGGCAAGATCAAATATAGCTTTGATGACGGTTGTATTCTTCATGTTTGGGCTTTTACTATATCGTTTCACTGTTGCCTATTTTCTGTTAGAGTAACCTGAAGGAAAGTAGGAGATATAGATGAAGAATTCAGCCAGGATCAACTCAGTAAAGAACACGGTTGCCAGGCTTTGAAGATTGCACTTTACACTCAGGGCAAACAATTCAGGAAATGTGAACTTCTCAATATCTAATAGACGATTGCAACATAGCCTAGAAGGGCTAAAGCACTTCTAGGTGCTTGTTCACACGTGATGTGTGAACAACAATAATGAGTCTGTTATGTGAATCTAGGCAAGAAGTAACAGTGGCTCTGGTTAATCAAGCACAGAAGGAAGGGGGAGCAAATATTCACTATTTAACAAAGGTGTATTAGCTGCTTACTATGTGGCAAGTACCACTCTAGGACCTGGAGTCAAGAATTAACAACTTAAAGAGCTTACATTTTAGTGGGAAGACACATGAAATAAACACATAAATAGAATACATACTCATTGATGATGAGTACTAAGGGGAAAAAAAAAGATAAGACTATAGAGATGGGAAAGGAGGCTATCTATACAGCATCGAAAGGAAAATTTCCCTAGATACAGAGACACTTTAGCAGAGACCAGAAAAAAGATCTTAATCAAGGTTGTGGTACTTGGATAATAAACAGCTAAAAGAAAGTGGTGAATGGCATGGGGGAGTGGGATGTGAAACAGAGGACACTTATGAAATGTCAGAATCATGTTAACCTTGAGTGAAGGGTGGTTCTATTTATTGAATAAGATCAGGATGTTGGTGTTAGTGGGAGCAGCTTGTGATATGTGGGGGAAATGTGTTCAACATTGAACATATTGAAGTCAAGATGTCTATGCTTCTCTCCAGTGAAGAGGTCCATGGGCTGTTAGAGAATCATGTCACAAGCTCAGGAGATATATCACAGCTGAGATATAAGACATATCATATAATTTTGAGAAAAATTACAAAATTTCAAGTACCTGAGAAAGTCTAGAAAATCTTCATATTTAAAAGTATAAAGATTTTACTGTATTGCATACATTTTTGAGACAGATAAGACAAGAGGATTAAGGGAGTTTTAGAAAGACAAATCTAAAAAATGGTGGAAAGTAAGGATTGTGCTGTCCAGGAAGCCAATGAAAAGCTGACTTTCAGAGAGCCACAAATTAGGAGAGTAGAGAAGAATATGAGTGCTGTGTGTCAATATTAGACAGGCCTTGGAGACTCAGAACATAGCTAGGATGGTTTATGATGGAGGCAGCTTAAAGGGTGGCTAGGATTCTGCTGCTCTGCAGGAGATAATGTGGAATTCTAAAATTTGGGTTCCAATGGTGATGGAGGCTTACACCCCCAGGATAGTGAGATGTAGAGATCTCAGCTTGGGCTAAAGGCCTCTGACAATCCCCCAGCTTCCATATTTTACATTCACTCACCATATCCTTGGATAAACCATTCAAAATATTCTTCTTGTGACTCTGGTTTCTTAATAAAACTCAACATACTCCAGTAAAAATAACCAGACACAAGAACATCTCTGGGATTTCTGATGAGGTAAATCACCTTAAAGAGAAAAATGGGATAACAAAAAATCAATACAGTCATTTCTCATTTCTTGGTTTTGTAAAAATAGAGAAAAAGCCAATTCCTAGAAAATTTCTATTAAGTATCAATGAATTCTTTTAATAAACTAGTTATTTAATTCATTAACAATATATATTTTTAGGTTCCTATGAACCATCCACTGAGGTAATATTAAGAATATAACAATGGAAGAGGAAAGCATTGTCTCTTCCCTCTTGGGTGTCATAGTCCACTCACAATGGGAAGCAACCAAAGGTTTTAAATGGTAAGTGGTGTTATATTTGTGTAGTATAGCTTAAAGATTCACCTAGGAGAATGGATTAATAAATTATTCTATACTTAAAGATACATAGCAGACATTCCATGATATGTCTATTTATATGAAGTTGAAGTACAATCAAAACTAATCTATAGAGTTAGAAGTCAGGGGAGTAGTCACCCATGTGGGTGGGCATTGCTTGGGGAAGCACAGGAGGGAATTTTCTGGGGGAGTGGAAGTGTTGGAAATCTGGATCTGGAAGGCAGTTACCCTATTAGCAAATATTTGTTCCTGTGCAAAGTCTCCATAAGACATTTGCTCCATAAGAATTTGGATCCACACGGAAAGCTGCTTGATATTTGGTTGTGTCCAAAATGTCCATGGAGACATTGTGTCCACACACCAAAAGGTCCTTGATATTTGGTCCTGTCCAAAACCACTTGGCATGGGCCAAATATGCTCTTGGATATTTTGGACGGGACCAAATGTCAAGGACCTTTTGTCACGGACCAAATGACTTATGGATATTTTTGACAGGACTAAATATCCTGCATGGAGTTAACCCAGTTGTAAACATATGCAAAATTAAACAAGCTAATACTTAAGGTTAGTGTGCACATACGACACAAATATGCAAGAACACGTGGCATTTGAAGATCTGACTTATACTCGAATCTGCACCAATTTTGTTTTTGACATTATTCTAGACCCCAACTCTCTCTAGGCCACTGTTTCCCTAAGCAGGGTTTCAACAAACACCAAAAAGACACAGGTAAATAAGTGTAGAATAAATAAGCTTGACAAGTGATGGGTTAAAAAAAAACACAAAACTTCAGAGCCAGCCCTGATAGCCTAGTGGTTAAACTTCAGTGCTATCACTGCTTCAGTGGCCAGGGTTTGTTCCTGGGTTGTGGAACTCACCACCCATCTGTGAGTTGCCATTCTGTGGCAGAAGCACACATAGAAGAACTGGAAGGACTTACAACTAGGATATACAACTATGCGCCAGGGCACTGGGGAGGAAAAACAAAAACAAAAAGCTTCATTGTGCTGCAACAAATTGTGAGATTTCCAAGAGAGGAGAATACTATTGAAAGCTTCACTACCTAATTTAAGCATAAAACATTTTTAAAAATCAAAAAACTATGAGCACCTACCAGGAAAATATGTTTCTAAAAACAATCCGAGGGGGCTGACCCCGTGGCCTAGTGGTTAAGTTTGGTGTACTCCACTTAGGCAGCCCGGCTTTAGTTACTGGGCGCAGACCTTCACCACTCATCAGCGGCCATTCTGTGGCAGTGACCCACATGCAAAATAGAGGAAGATTGTCACAGATGTTAGCTCAGGGCTAATATTCCTCAGCAAACAAACAAACAAACAGAAAAACAATCTGAGACATGCTAGATCCTGGATATCCATGTTCCCTGCAAGGGATCATCTGTCAGCCCCATGAGAGATTCATGTGGCTACTGAGCTCAACAGACAGCTACATATAGGAAGGCATAGTGGTTAGAAAAGCCAGCCATGATGCCGGAGCAGTCTCCCAGGATTTAGGCATTGATTTATGAACCAGCTTCTTCTCATATGGGCAACTCTCTGTATGCTGCTTCTCCCTAAGTGGCAGTAGGCGTTTACTTAAGTAAGACTGGCGAATTATTTTTCAGAGCAACAGAGGGAGTTATCTAGTATATAACACATTTATAAATTTTGCTTGGATTTAAAATGCGGTTTTCCCAGATTCTGGTGTTGTCATTTCACTTTGCCTCTGGATTACACCTGGCTGATATAGACTGTGGAGGGTTTACACCCTGTACTCAAGTAGGGACCACAGACCCCCAAATGCAGAATCTCAGGCCCACGCCAGACATACCCAATGGTGCTGCATTTCAACCAGACGTCTAGGGGATTCCAGGCACATTAGAGGGTGGAAAGAATTGACCAAACATCTTGACCATTGAGCACTGACCTTGGCCTTGGAACTAAAGAGAGACTTGGGGATGAGTTGGATGGGGAGGAGGGAGCTGATGAGTCGGGGGCCTTCCTTATTCTTCAGTATGTTATACCCATACTCAGCCTCTAGCCAGGGTGAGCGGTCCCAAATGGGCACAGATTGGATCCACTTGGGATCCCCCTTGGAGTGAATCAGGCAGAGAATTTCAACCAACCAGTTTGTTCCTGGATAAAGAAGGAAAAATGATGGTCACTCATTTTAATCTGACTTAAAAACAATTGTGGTAAAGCATAAAAAGCATAAAATGTACCATCTTCACCATTTTCAGTAGTGTTAAGTATATTCACATTGTTGTGCAAGGATCTTGTAAAAGTGAATCTCTGTACCCATTCAACAACAACTCTCCACTTTCCCTCCCTCCAGTCCCTGCCAGTCCTTGGCAACCACCATTTTACTTTCTGTTTCAATGAGTTTGATTATTATGATGATTACATCATCAAAGTAGAATCATGCTATGTTTGTCCCTCCATGACTGGTTTATTTCACTCAGCATACTGTCCTCATGGTGAAATTCATGCACATTGTTGCATGTGGCAGAACTTCATTCTTTTTCAAGGCTGAATAATATTCCATTATTTGTATATACTACATTCTGTTTATTCATTCATTTGTCAATGGATATTTGGGTTGCTTCCACCTTTTGACTATTTGTTTAAATCCTTATCTAGTTCCCACTGCCCTTGGCTTTTCACCACCAGGACACTTCCAAAGTCTTCAGCCTCAGTCCTTGCCCAATTTGCAGTCCCTCTACCCATCTCCCCTCATAGAAATGTGATCCTCATCCTTTCAGTCCCTTGGATTTTCTGGGTTCTTTTCCAATTCCTGATCATTGTCCATGCTGATACCTTTACCTGAAAATATCTCTTTTCACTAAGTAGTTTCACATTCATTCTTTCATCTCAATTTAGACCCTATTGCTTCTACAGTTTTTTTTTGGCTGTGATAGTTGTGCTTATTCATCCTTCCCCACTTTAGTTGAGGTATAACTGACAAAAAAAATTATATAGATAATTTGATAATATATAATGTGATAATATATACAGATACAGATATAATAGATAATATATAATGTGATGATTTGATATATGTATACATTGTGAAATGATACCACATTCAAGCTAATTAACATATCTATCTCTCACATAATTAACATTTTTTTCTATTTCTTCTATAAAGACTTCACTGGTCATCCTCCACTCTTCCATGAAATCAACTTACTCTGCCTTAGGACTCACTCCTGTGGGTTCCCCTAATACCTTAGATTACCCACTCTGGACACTCATCTTACTGGGTAACTGCCTGGTTAAAGCCTTTTCTCTGAATGTAAATGGTATTAGGGCCTAGCTCTATTCCCCCACAGCATTACATTATCTGGCTAGAAACCCCTCCTTTCATCTACTGAGTGAATGAATGGCATGGCCATAGCCTGTCTCAGAATCTGATCCTTCTTCCTTACCTGATTTAGGGTAAGTCAGTATCAAGAAATCATCATCCTTAAACACAAATGTCTCCCATGCTTCTCTCAGAAGTTCAGGTATGAAACCCAAGATAGGGAAAGGTATCCCTTCATACCACAGATACTCGTCTGACATTATGATCAGCTCTTGTACCTTGTGTTAGAGTCTCAGCTGTTGGCACTGTTGTAGGTTGTGGCATCTGCTGGGAGACCAGCTTTAATACTAAAGATAGAACAATTATTAACCTGTCCCTGCTTGTTGAGGAGTTTGACTGCCCATAAAGTGAAGTACATCCTGTACTGATATGTGGTCCCAAGGTTGACAGTTGACCATCCATGAAGTTCTCATCTGCCATCTAAACAGTAACATGCTGAGAATTTATTAAATCCTTTTGGTTTTCAGGGCATGAGATAAGAGAATTCTCATATCCACCACACAGAAAATCCAAATAGCAATTGTTATTTCATTGGCCCTGACCTTCTTTTTCCCCGTGAAGGACTCTCAGGGCCACAGTTTCGTGTTCATGCAACAAGCCAAAGGGAGCGTGTCCACCAAATATAAGGAATCTTGATTCTAGGAGAACTTAAACATCTACGTTTCTACTGTGTCTCTGTGTGCTTCAGTCAGAGAAAATTAAGACCATCTAATTAATTATCTGAACCTAAATTCGAAAGTAACAATGTTGATATTATACGACTCCTTCCTGGTCCCTCTGTGTCCTCCTCCCTGTGTCCCCATAGGGTGGTGTGGTTCCAGAACCACTGGACCAAATACTCCAGGGTGCAGTGACTGTTCACATGATGAGGCCGGGGAGCCTGTGCTGCACCCACAGGCCCCAGAACCCAGGCAACTGCCCCTGTGGGTCTTGTGCCTCTTGAGTTCCCAGGTTTCTGAATCCCCTCTCTTCCCAGTGTTACTGAACAAGGGCTTGCTACCCAAAGCGAATAAACAGCCAACAATAATGGCACCAGCTTTTTAGAAAAGAAAAGTCTTTATTGCAAGGTTGACTGGCAAGGAGATAGGAGGCAAGGCTGTCAAATCTGTCTCCCAATTTAGGGTTTAGGGTGAAACAAGAGGTTAGGGAGAACATACTGGTATGTGGAAATGCTGATGGGGCAGGTTTCAGTTGGAGGGATTTAAGCCTTTATGGTAATGTATGGAAAGGGGCTTTAACACTAGGTGTTCCTAGATTACCACACCTTGCTTCTGATGAGAGTCTAGCTTTCAAGTTCAGGTCATGTCCTGTTCCTTTGGTTCCATGGGGGGAGAATCTTTGGTTCCTGGTGTTATCTCAGGTCTAGATTTTCTCCTCTGTGCAAGATCTGTCTATACGACTCGAAGATTTTTTGCTCCCTGATTCTGAAAAACAACTTTTAACATTCTTATGATAAGATGGGGTCAGTTGAAACTGTTCTTGTGGTTAAAAATTTACCCCTTTTCCTGTTCATTCCTCAATCATGAGGAAAATGGAGTGATGACTGCTCTAGGTGCTCCCTGCTAGTAAGAGGTGTAGGTTGTTTCATCTCATCGAACCAGTCTCTTAGTCCCGATGACATGTCAGTCTAGTTAAATTCATTTCAGAAGGAGGTAATACAGGTCAGCTCCCAAAGTCAGGTCTATATTGTGTAAGGATGTAACTAGATGTTCAGTAAGTATCTTTTCTAGAGAAACAAAAAGAAAATAAGGTTAATGGTTAGAGCAGATTATAAACCAGTTCCAGAGCCCAGGGAAGTGCCTGTCAAGATTTCTAGTTGTCAGGGTTGAAGCATCTTTTGCAGTTTGAAATGACTCTGATGAAGTCATCGGGTGTTCAGGTACTCTTTGAGTTGCTTACACAGCAACAGATATGTAGATTGTCTTAACACGGACTATTGTGGTGACCTCTCTTACCTTTATATCAAGTAGTCCAGCTTCAGTTTGCAGGGCTTCAGGAAAAAGAGTGGTTTCAGTTCTCTGTGATTTTAAATGAAAACGATGGAAAAAATTGAAAACATTAGTTTGGAGATTTGTAGCCAGATATTTGAAGAAACTAAAAAATTCAGAATCCAGTCCAGTTTACAGATAGAAAACAAAAACCTCAAAGACAATTAACGGAACTAGAATCTAATATCCACAAATGTATACTATATTTTCTATTGAAACATAATTTTTCTCTCTAAAATCACCCTCATTTTTACCAGGGATACCCAAAATAAGACTAATTGCATTGTAAAATAAGTGTAGTTTCAATGAAGATGGCCCAATTATTTACATAAGTACAGCAAGAATGGCAAATGATTATATAAGCTTTTTAAAATCTGCTTTGCTGGAACTTTTTATAAGGAACCTCAAATTGAACTTGAAAGGCCTCTCGGGGCCAGGAAAGCCAACCCAAGGACTTATTATCAGACTCTGCCTATAATACCTATAGAATTCCTCTCTTCTTGAGGTCCCCAAAATAGCCTTATGTTCTTGCACCTGCTAGGAAGTGATCTTTACTCACCTGATGGGTTACTGAGAACCCTGTAAACAAGGTGCCAGGCCAACTTCCAAGTGGCTTATTTGTTTCATAAAGTCAGCCATTGTTCCTTAAAGCTATTTGGTCACATCTGAGTCTATGCATGCTTCTCTCAAATATGATATTCTAGTCAATGCCTTGGTCCTTGGTAATATGACCAAGGTTTCCAATTGTGCCCTGTCATAAGGAGAATAGATTCTTATTGAACTTATGCAAATAACTATATTGCCTTGAAAATAAGAATACTCACTAATCAAGAGTTTCCAAATTCTGGAGGGATCAGGTAGGGAGAGAAAGGTAAGTGTTTCAATTTTGCTTATAAATGTATAATTTTACCAAATTGCTATAAGTCATAGTTAGCTTAAAAGAAAAGAGAAAGGGCTGGCCCCATTGCCAAGTGGTTAAGTTTGGTGCGCTCCACTTTGGTGGCCCAGATTCAGTTTCCAAGTACAGAGCTAACACTCCTCACCACTCTTCAGTGGCCATGCTGTGGCAGCGACCCACATACAAAATAGAGGAAGATTGGCACAGATGTTAGCTCAGGAAAAATCTTCCTCAGCCAAAAAAAAAAAAAAAAAGAGAAAGAAAAAAAAGAAAATGTTTCCTTAAATCTGGAAAACAAAATATTTTTAAAAAATCAGCAATATTTCAAATAAAAGTCATAAAAATTATAATCATCCTCATAAGTTCATTCAGTCCCATGTAACCAACTTTTGATCTTAATCTTTTCTTAGCAGTTTTATGAAGCTATAATTTCTCTATTAGAGTTCTGTAGTTTCTTGCCCAGGTCAGTTTTATGATCTGAAAGTTCATCAGAAACCTGTATTCTACAGTAACTGTCAGAGTCCTTTCCATGAATCTCTCTGAAGATGAAACATATATGTAAAAACAGAGAGAAACAACTGTCTGTAAATGACAAAAGACTTAAAAATAGCAATTGACAAAGAAATCTTATTACTTTGTAACATATCACGTTTTAAGGTATTAAATAGACTTATGACTAATAACCAGGACAGATCATAATTTTACGGATATTGTATAATTTTTTAAAACTTTTATATTAATGACATTTACCTACACAACATAACCTAAGAAAGCTTACCATTATTTATTTGGCAATGCTCCCCATGTAGTTTAACATACCAAATAAGTCTAATTAGTTTAGTATCTTCCTATTTAGAAGAAGAGGGAATCAATTATTTGAAAAGTTTCCAGGCCCCACTGAAATTCTCAAAGTCACTTTTAGGTTGAAAGAAACACTTTATTTAGAATTTGAATTTTGGGGAAGTTTGTGCAAATTATCAAAAAGATCGTAGGTCCCTATGAAACAATGCTTAGTTATCCATTTAACCAAAGTGACAAGAGAAGATGTTGAGGCAAACATACATAATTAAACAGTTAGAAAAACTTTAGTTCTCTTAATAGAGAGAGCTCAACATTTTTGAACATAGGAAATTATTTGACAAAGCATAGAATTTCTGCCTCTTAGGTACACTTAATCAAAGACAAAGAAAATCCTATTATAATCTCACTATCAGGAACAGACTAAAAGTTCAAGAAAACTATCCTTTAGGAGAGAGACAAAAACAAATTTTAATTTTGAACAAGCTTACTTTTGATATTAAAATTCACTCCCTTAATTAAATTTGTTTTAATCTTAGCCAAATTGACGAAGCACAAAACTCTTTCCTCAGGGTTTGTCTCCCACAAACCTTCCATAACTTCATTTTACATTCAGAATTTGTCCAATGCCTTCTTTCTTCCCTCCTAGCACTGGAGGAGAAACTTATCTTTCTTAACAAAACAAACAAAAATATCTCCACGCCTTAAACCTTCTTTACTGAAAACATATGTCTTACTTTCTTTAATTTTTTGTACTGGCATCCTGTAGATTGGTAGAACCTCAATAGTGTTTAGAAACATGTGCTTTCTCATAGAAAATTTCTCAGCATAGCAGAAAATGTGTTTATCAATAAATCCAAGCATTTTTCCAGTTTCTCTGGAAATCTGGAAAAGGTAGATTTCAAAACTAAAGCTAGATATATCTATGTTTAGTGATTAATGTCTAATATCTTATCTCATGTGGAAATGACCTAGATACTCTATGAAGTTTATCGTTTAACTTAATTTAGCAAAACTCTAAGGTTTCATGTTTCCAAAAGGGTTTTAAAGTTAAGTACATACACCATAACACATAAATATTGTTAAAACCTCACCCAAAACATTTATCTTTTCCCATCTATTTAGTTTACTTGTTCCTAATAATTATTTAGATTGCCTACAAAAATTCCTGATACATTAGACAATATTAGTTTTCATTCTATGCTGTTATTTTTGCTAACAAGTTTTCTAACAGAGATAACACCAGGTTATCTGACCAATAAATCCAGGTAGAATAAAGGCTGCATGTCTGAATCATATCCAATGTTGATAACTCACATTTCAATGTTAAATGTTAAACTAAAAATATTAAATAAGCTTTAATTTACCAAAGATCATATCATGTTTACTTGAAAACATTTGGGTTAGTTTATATTACATTTATAAGAAGCACTTACTTTAAGCCAATTGAATAGAGCTCTTTTGGAAATTCTACCATCTGGAGGTAAAAATATCACGTATATAAAACATACATATAGACACATATACACAGAGACTCCACAGCTGTT